GAGCAGAGGGAGGGAGAGAGGACGACAGAACACACAAGGGAGACAAGGAAGAGAGGAAGAAGGAGAAAAGGGAGAGGACAATGTCGGCGGACTGAGCCGGAGGCTCTAAAGTATATATATATATATATGTATGTATGTATATTCTTTATGTGTATACCGGCAGCCCAACATCTTTTCGCATTCTCGTGCAACCGATGCCACTCAAGTCTACTTGATGGTTCTGACGTGATCGATCTCTAGCAAAACAAACAAAGTAAAGAAGAAACTGTGCGATCCGACTAAAATTCCCTATAGCAAACAAAACACCCAAACAAAACACAACTTGCCTCACTTAAATATATAGCTCGCACGGTTTATCAAAGTTCAATAGCCCCCAAACAGTGCTAGTTTCATCTCCCCTCGGAAACCGGTACCCAAACAGCGCCACGAACCGCCGCTTTTGGCGACCGAGGCGCCGCTAGGCAGCGCCTCCGACACTGCCAGCTCCGCCAAACCGCCGGCATCCACCAGCTCCACGCACTCCTCGTTACGCGAGCGCGAGTTGCACGCGCGTATCCAAACCGCGTGTCCGCCTCGAAGGTGTGGGCTTGAGAGGCACGTTGAATTATAAACCGCGAAGTAAAAGCAGTTCGCAGGCGGGCAGGTTTTGTTTGGCGTGTTGGGCCGCCTTTCTGGCGTGTTGGCCCCACTTGCGGTTACCCTCCGCAGCGGCGCTTGCTTTTGCATGCGCGGGTGCCCTTGCCTCTTGGCCTGCACCCAGTAACTTCCCTTCAACCCCGCGGAGGGGGCTTCACCTTGGTGGAATTACGAGATGCACAGGGGGACGTGAGGGCGTGGCTTCTTCCTTCCTTCCTTCATTGAGAAATTCATTCATTTCCTCATTCGGTCATTCATATTGCAGCCCAGTGTCGATGATCGAGTCTTCGTTGTCTAAAACCTGGCAGTGGGCCATGGGTTTCCCCGACTTGCTGCTTGCACGTTGCGTAGACATAGGGCCTGGGTTCCATGCCAGGTCCAGCTGAATTTGGGGTTCCTCCAAACAGCTACCAACTCGGAGCTTCGCTTGCCTAGACCGAGCCAGTCGTTTGGGCACAATTCATCGATGGGGAATCCCGACAGCATTGACACTCAGCTGGATCTTTCAGGGCCGCTCCTCAGGGTTTGGCTTCTTGCTGTTCTTCGTAAAAGGCCTTAACGCAAAACACACCAACCAGGGTTCTGAGCATTTTCACGCGACTTCGGCACGTGGCTGCTGTCCAGCAGCATGCCTCACCTGCCTTTGGGCTTTTGAGCAAGCTTTAGGCTCTGGCTGCCAGCCGCCCAGAGCGAAACGCCGTCGTTTAAGCGGGCAAGGCAGGCGCAGCTTTGCAGCGCTTGGGCGGCTGCAAGATGTCCTCGGGCTGACTTTGAAGGTCGAGAAAGGTGGAACTGTTCTTTTTTTGTGGGGGCGGGGGGAGTGGGGTCTTGTTTTCAAGAAATCCCCACTTTAGCTAAAAGAAGCTGAAGAGGCAAAAATGACTTGCCATTCAGCTGCTTGCCATGTCCTGGTTGGGAACGTGGGAAGGCCACTGTACTGTGACTGGAATGTAGGGAACGGGCACAGGATCCATTCCCTGTTGCCAAGATTGAAACCAGGGAGCTCCCCCCACACGCGTCGGCTGTTGAACCACCCGACCCCCCCAATGAGCCCTGCGCGTGAGCCCTTTCTCTCTCCCTCTTTCCCTAGGCCCACAGCGGAACCCCGCTTTTGCGCCTTCCCTTTGCCGGTGTCTGTGGGGGTTGCTGTTTTTTTTTGTCTTTTGGATATTTTTCCCTTTATTTATCTATGTCAGTCTTTTTCTTCTTTTCTTGGCTTCGCTGCTGCAGGACCCTGAGGGGCCAAACAGGCGAGGCGTCCTTAGGTCCTTGACTCGGCAGCCTTTCTATGTTCACAACACTGTAGTGAAACCTCAAAAGCCTGCCTGCCATGTGAAGACTCGGGTGCCAACAAAGCAGCTGCTGAATACCAGGCATCGCTGTCTCTCTCTCTCTCTCTCTGTCTGTCTCGCTCTCTCTCTCTCTCTCTTTCTCTTTTGTTCGTGACTCTTTTCTCTCCAACCAGCTAAAACATACGTGTGCCTTCGACACCTGTCTCGCTTCTTGAATTACTCTCCCGTCCAGCCGCCCTAGCGTGAAATTGAAATGGGGGGAACCCTTTATGTACGGGTCGAACAAAAAAGAACCCTTTCCCGGGCACCCCTTTGAAAGCTGTACAAAATGACACCAGAAATCTCAACCGCGCCAATCCCCCCCTGAAAGCTTTTGGCCATGCTTGAGGTCTGGGAGTCGAGCTCAGCCTCTCTGAATTTCTGGCTGCCTCGCAGAGTTGTAGTTGACCAACTTCATCCAAGATTTGTTCAAGGGACCATCTGACCTACAAATCAATCATTCGGGGTCCATCCGCCTTCCCTTCAACTGCGCTGAAATCAGGGTTCCATCCAAGAGTGAGCAAGGCGCCAAGTTAACTCATCCACCTAGCACGTTCACCTCAGTTGTTCAGTGACCCTGGAAAAAAAGAGAACCCTTTGTGGGGAAGGCCATTTTGAGTTTCTTTTTGGAAGACCACGCTAGTGGTGGTCAGTCACACCTCCCCTCATCCGTTTGCAGTCCCTTTGGAAAACGTCAAGTGGTACAGCCTCGAATCTATCTGACAGTCCGATTCTAGGGGTTGATTCCGATTCCACTCTTTTCAACATCGTTCTTTTCAAAAGCCGGATCTGTTTCCCCTGGGTTTTTGATGGTTTCCCGAAAAGAATGATCCCTGGAAAGAATGGGGAAGGTACCTAGACCGACGGCCCGTGGTTCCTTTGCGCAAATCAAAGCCGTCAAAGTTGCAAAGCGCTGACCGCCAACTTGAAGCAAGGAAACGTGGCTATGTGTAAAATCTGGGGCATACGTCTGACGTTTGGATCCTCAAGCCATGGTTCCAGCAGGCCGAATACGACAAGCAAAACAAGAGCTGGACACGAACAGGTGAACGGGACTGTGGCAGAACAAAGCTCCCTTCCAACTGGGTGACATCTTGCTGCCATTTCAACACCACCCAAAAGCTGCCTAGCTTTCATACCTCCCATGACTCATGTGGCGCCGGCTTTTTGGGTTACGGGTAAGGAGTCATGGCCAACAGGTTCAGTCGACCGCCCCTTGTGAATGTTGTTGCATGATCAAGTGGCTAAACGTAGAAAGCTCATTCAATCATACCAGTTGGTTAAGCAAACATATGATATAATACCCGTTGAACGTTGATAGACACAACATACCCGTTGGCTGGGTATTCGTAAGCAATCATACCCCCTTGGAACCTTCTTTATGACCTGAGCCGGCGCATTGAATTCAGTCCTCCTCCGCCCTTGCCAGTCATGAATAGTGCCTTGGCCAACTTTCTCGAGCGAAATTCGCGTGCGCGCTGCATACTGCAGATCTCCAAGGGAGCTTCACATGTCCGCAAATGGTCAACCCTTTCTGCCACCAGCATGGAAGCCGCGGGCACCATTTACCAAGCCTTGAATGAGTCAAAACTGGTTCGACCCTTCTGCATAGTCGGATTCCTGTTGGGTGCCTTGTAACATTGATCATTGCTGGCCGAAAGTCCGACCAGCAGAAAACCAGTCACGGGCTCATCTGTGCCGAAGCCTCCCCCAAAATCGGTGTCTTTCCAACAAACGACATAGCTGGACTTGAATGACTGAGCGGTTGTTCCAGATCCTGGGAGCAAGTAAACTTGCTTCCACCTTACCACTATAGGTGACCAAAGGGTGAAGCTCCCTGTTCAGATCCATGGGAGTTGTCAATCCTCGAATTCCTGAATATCCACCAGGTCAAAGGCTGGGATGCCTCCTGAATCTGCTAGTGTCATGCTCCAATTCGACGCTGGGATGCCCCATGGAGATCAGCTCAGCTTGACTGGTGGATTCGGTTTGTTTTTTTCTTCCGTGGTCTATTTTAGTAGGGGAACCCTGCCCCAAAAAAGAAACGGTAAAAGGGCACTACTGGGGGACCTAGTCTTGCTCAGATATGGTGCAAACGATATGTTTTGTGTTTGTCTATGAGTCTATCAGGACATGCCCCCCTCGAAACGGTTGGGTTTGTGTTGGTCACTCTCAAAGTTCATTGACAATAGGTCCATTGACTCAAGGCAATTTTCAGGTACCCCCTCAAACTCTTCTCCCGCAGGTTTCCAGGACCATACTCATGAAACCAGCACGAGATGGCGGCCGCTTCGAGAAAAGAGTAAAACATGAGGTTACCGGTCATGAGTCACCCATCCCTCATGGACTTGTCCAGTCTTGCGCACAAGCCGCTGGCAATCATGACTAGGTCCTCCAGTAGAAAGGTTAGAATAAGGGTACCCTTTTTTCTGTTTTGTCTATTTTAGTTGGGGAACCCTCCCCAAAAAAAGAAACGGTAAAAGGGCCCTACTGGGGGACCTAGATGAGGTCCCGAGTCTTCAAACCACTGACTCGCCTAGCCCACTGAACATCGCTGCGGTGCTGTAACGGCATCCATGTCCTCCTCCATCGCGCGGCATCGACACACAGGGCCCCTTGCTCTTCAGCGAAAAAAAATCGCGGCCTGTGGCCGTCACTCCCCGAATAGGAGCTGTAGGTGTGACGTGGCTATGCGAGCAGTTGTGAGGGTCCTTTGGACATCATTTTTGGATTTGCTCAAAACCAAAACGCATATGTTTGATGCTCTAAGATGCCCCAAGAGTTGGCAACCATCAAGCACCTGTTGCGTTTTGCAAAATCAGATGAACGTCTTTTAACTATTCATCTACGCGTTGGACACAGAAGCCAACAACGATTTTGGGCTTCAAGGCCAGCAAGCGACTCTCTGAGCTCAAAGCTGCCGCATGCGCATGGGTGACTGCTGTACTCAAGGTTTGGCTTCCCTCCAATGCCGCACCAAATTCTTGTTAAAAGACGTTGAAAGGGCACAAACGTGTCCCCACCCTTGGTGTGTTGGGGTCTCGCGCAAGAAGGGAAAAAGCAAACACTTCGCCAGGCTCCATGTGCGCCCAAGGTGACAGCTTATGGCGACTTGGAAGCTTGGACCAACGTATTGTAGGCAGCACTCACTGAATAGTCAGTGCACTTCAGCAAGCCTCAGAATCCGCTTCCCCCAATGGCTGAATGTCACACGAAAGCGCCCCATCTGTTTGGTTTCGCCGAAGTCCGTTCAAATTCTTGCCAAATAAGGGCGGTCCCTTCCCGGGCCCGAAACAAATACAACAAAACAACGATAGGCTCCAGTACGATATGGCTTAGCATGCTCAACAAAGAGGTGAACACAGCACCAACGCCAAACTTGGGCATGCACACGACGATATCTGGGTAATGATGTCTCAACACATGTCAAAACTAGGGACACTGTGTTTGATCAGTCTCTCATGAAAACCAACGTGCTATTCTGTCTTGTCTGAGCTAACTTTCCAACATGCCCCTTCGCCAAGGAAGAGCACATGCGAAACCGGGCCGTTGAAGGCTAATCCATCGAAGAGATGACCGGGGAAGAAACGCCACTGCGCACAGAAAAACGGCGGTCAAAATCTTCGGTGCTGCCAAATGCAGTGCGGTCAGGCGGGAACTGGAGGGAGTCCCCGTTAAGACATCCATCCCGCAATGAAGCACTGGGAAAACCAGACGATGGCACAAACAAGCGAGGATCGCCTGGAAGGTTTCTGGATTTCCGACCAAAAGAGCTCCAATGTCCACTGAACTACAGCTCCCTGGGGCCTTAGAGGTTTTGATCCGGACATCAACTTCAATGGTTGGAACGCTACAGGTTGTAGTCATGGGCAAAATGCGTGGGTCCTGTTTCCCGATCAAGTTGAGAAGCAAGGCAAAGGAAAGTGAAAATGGAGAAGCCATTCAGATGTCTAATGTTAACGCAAAAGGCGATGCACACTGTATGTCCATGTTTGCTGGGCAGGCAGGGTTCCCTGCTTCTTTTGTAACGCTTTCCGAAAGAGACCCTTTGGTGACTGCCAAAATACAATGTTCCATACGAGCCACTTGTTAACATCATCCCACACACAAAATACCTTTTTAACATCATCGCAAAAACAAAAAACACAGTCAGGACATGGCAAGCAAAGGAAGTACCTTAAACTAAGGGCAAACTGCTGACCCCAATGAGGGAATCCTTAACGAGACCCGCCAAAGCTGGAAGTTTCTCAAACGGGGTGTCCCACTGGCATCGTCCGAAGGTCGGAAAGGTACAGCAATGTCTTGCTCCAGATGAAAATGATACTGTGGACGAAATCCTGCACCACTTTAAAACCATGGGAAACCACTGTGTATTGGTATTTACAACTCTATGGTTTTCCCAGGTGATGCAGGATTTCGTCCATCCACCTCCAGAAAGAAGAGAGGATAGAATAAGGGTACCCTATTTTTCTCTGTAGCCTATTTTAGTAGGGAAACCCTCCCCCGAAAAAACAAAAGGCACTAAGGGCACTACTGGGGGAACTAGAATGTAACCCGCCCAACAAAACCTCACTTTTAGACCAATCTCCTTTACCCTCTTGTTGGCTTCCATGTTCATTCGGCTCTGTCAAAATGAGTGGCTGGTGCTTTCGGCTTCCCTTCAACCAACCCGAAACGGGCTCTCTCCAAGAAACCTCAAAAAAGCCCAAACCTTTGATTTACCGCTACCCTCTAAAACGGTCTTCCCAAACAGCTTGAAAGTTCAGGAGCTCAGGGACTAACTACACACATACCCACGCCTGGGGGAGAAACAAAACGAAAGCCGAAAGCCGCCTAGATCCACCTAGGCTGCCCCGCTTTTGCCGGCCACGGGCCCGGCCGCGCCGAAGTTCCCGGTGCTGGGGTCCATGCAGACCAGGTTCTTGGCCTGACGTGCGAATGGTAACCGGGCAGGGTACCTGAGGCAAGTGGGAAACAAAAGTGGGAAGCGAGAAACAACCGCGCTACTTGAAGGGGCAGCAGGCACGTCAGGCAAGTGGTTGCAATACCCATGGTGAGATAACCCACAAAAGCCATGGTTCTAAGTCCCCTAAAGTGGCTTATCTCACCAGGCCTACGAACCACTAAGTACCCGATCGCCTCAAGGAGGGGACCGGGACCCACGGACGTTTCTCTTCCCTTGGATGCCCCGAAAAACCATCCGAGGAAACCCAGCATGGTGCTCGCAAAATAAGTTCAAGGCATTCTGACTCTAAACCCCGCGCCTGGCTTCGACCGTCATTGCTGCTGCCGATGTCGAACTCGAATTTCACGCCGATCAGATTGGATTCCTGCGGAAGTCCCAGAGTCTGGACGGTGGTGTGGATACCGTGCCCTCTTCTGGTACTCTCTTAGCACTCTTTGAAGGTGATTCCACAGCTCGGGCATCAATCTTTCGCAAGACAATCCAAAATAGGTGGCAACAAGGCGAACAAAAGGCACCCTTCTGGTGAAAGCACGTTCTTTGTGGGGCAAAAAAAACACCAGGAGCTTGCGACTGAACATTTGCGGGACCCCCTACCTTTGACTTGCTTGCAGGGCTAAGGGCAGTGCCACGGGGGGTTGGTCCTAGACAAACCAGACAAACCATAAACCCAACCACAGGGGGGGGGGGAACGGACTGGGAACCCGAACCCGGGGGGGGGGGGGGGGCGAAGTGGGGGGGGGCAGGGACTTGCGAACCCTTGACCATATATAACTGTATCCCTGTATCCCGGAGGGACTAGACTCACTAGGCCTTCAGTCTTCGGGCTCGACAAAGGGCCCAACAATCGTCGGGACTTGTTCGCAAGAGTCTTGGGGACAGAATGTGTCCGCATTGACACCTTTCCAGGGATCGAATTGTCACCCGCAAACACTTTCAAAGGGCAGGGTGTAAAGGTGGTTCCAGGACGAATTCAGCCCCACCAAATGGTTGCTTTCCCGTTGATGCCATTTCACGGGCTGGCCAACAAACAAAACACCAAGGTATTTAGAAGCGCACTCGTCTTTGCTAAAGCTGCCAGAAAAGCCTTTCAAGGGTGGCTCTGCCAAAATTATTGCAATGGACCGAACTATACATATTCATATACACAACTATGCGTGCCTGTAGGAATGACTGGAACATGTGTGTATAACGTGTATGTATACATCTGAACATATACATACAAGTAAGTACATGCGACATTAGTTCTCAATGTGGGCCAAATGGAAACCAGTAAACAATGAACATACACATTTGCCATGTGCAGCATATTACATTCATTATTTGGCGTCCCGGCATGACGCTAGGCGGGATCGAGGGATGGCGAACGCTTGAACCTTTCGTTCCAGCCGATTCGCTCCCGCCAGTGAAAACGAAGCAAAGCAGCACTCCTGCATTCCCACCGGAAGATCCCTCTTGGCAAAGAAGATGTCGCCTGCATGCGTGCAGAACTATGTCTCAAAACGAGCTCTGGACCCTCTCAATGCTAGGTTGCATGCTGGTTTCCCTTTCGAATGGGCCGAAATGGAGCCCAACTCCTGTTGAGAAGTTCAGTGAGTGTCAGGAAGACAATTTGCACGGCGTGCCATATGCTTCAGTGAGCGGTGCTTGCGGGCGGGGTTTTAGGAGTCATTTGTGCAGCTACATTGCTGCAATTTGTGCAGCTTACGTGCAGTTCATCCAAAGGAACCCTTCAAGAGCACCGGGTGCAGGGTTGAGTTTCGCCGAGTTGTTCTTTCTCCAGGTCTCCGAATTGAGTTGGCCATGCGCACAAACTAGTCGGACCCTTCCAAATGAGCAATTTCATGTCGGATTCCTTTCAAACCGTTCCAAAACAGGCTCCTTGTCTTGGCGCATGCCCATTCGACGTCAGACTTCTCGACCATGAGCAAGACGTCAATATATATATATATATATAAATATGTATAAATGTATATATGAACATTCATATATATATATATACAAACACATGGGTCTACACCCGCTGAGAGTTTTCATCTTCAAAGAATTGCAGCTAAGCTCAAGTTTTCGGCTTACTTTCACACCGGAGCCGCAGGCTATTGTAATTATTATTATTGCTGTCAGTAATCCTGGCGGTACTATCCTCGTCTAATAATGTCATCAGTTCATAACTATTGGCATCAGCATTGCTACAATTATTGCTATCGTCAGCATCAGCACTGTCACTATGTTTAACTACTGTCGAAACCATTACTGATATGTATGTATGTATGTATGTATGTATGCATGTATGTATGTATGTATGTACGTACGTACGTATGTATGTATGTATGTATGTATGTGCGTATGCATGCATGTATGTATGTATGCATGCATGCATGCATGCATGTATTTATGTATGTGTACTAATCTGTTCACCTCATCTTCACATACTTGCTTCATTGAAATATCATGCACACATGTGTCATGGCGCACCACTGGCCTGCAACGGACATGCAAAGGGGGCTAAGTAGTATGGCGTATATGGTCATGCCTAAATGTCCTGCATATGTTTGGGCTGTCGCATATTCTAGCATATGGCTCGTTTCACGTAACTTATGTTCCATTCCGACATGTGTTTAGTATGTGTCTGGTAAATGATTGTAGCATGGTTCTAGCATATGTCTATCAAGCTATGTTTGCCTGCTTGGTTGAACCCGTTCTAAAAAAAGTTGTTCGCAAAAAACAAAAACAAACTGCCAGTTCTATCATGCTTCTACCATGTGTCTAAATAGTGAAGCTATATGTTGCATGCCTCGCATATGTCTGGCACATTTCCAAGTCTCGGACCTCCAGTGGGTAGCATGCTGATGAAGCCGTAGCCGCCCTTGGCGGAAAAGCCTCGGAAGGTCCAGGAGCCCCGAGACACAGGCAGTGAGTCAGAATTTTCCCAAAATGAGACCCTGGTAAATGGAAAGGACCAAAACCTGAGCTCTGCTGGTTTCATTTTGACCCATACCCATTTCTTGCAATGCCTGAGCGGGCAAGCCATTGGGAAGGTGTAAACAGTGCACACCAGAACTGGTGAGCCAACGTCGCTTAAGCTATTTGGGCAACCCTGACTGGCAGGATGCTGCCCTCTGCTGATTCATTGATTCATTGCTGTGTGTATGTTGGTTCCCTTCAAAACAAATCAGAACGGGTAGAGAGTACGGGGAAACACCCAAATCATGCTGCCTAGCCTTGCAAATGATACTAACAACAGTCGCGGCTGCATTCAAGGAAGCCAGTAATTAGCACTGTCATTTTTTACACCCCACACCCTTCTAAACGGAGCCTGAAACCCGACTCGAGCATCGTGCTTTCTCCAGAACTATCTTCCCAAGCGCCACAAGAACAAAACAGCACTCGGGGAACCCATACGGTACATGTTCCCAAAGCGTCGCTCAAGTTTCATGTTGTTTCCGGTGACCTGGGTGTCAAAAGTTGGACCCATCAGAGAAGCCGGTGGGTAAATCACCTCCCGATCCTTGCCATCGCCTGAGGGCATGGTCATGGCTGCGATTTGGGGTATGTGCCATAGGCGACCTCCACTCGTATTCCCTCAACAACAGGGCGCTGTCCAACACGGCGATCTGATGGTTTCCCATACCATCCAAAAAGGCTCGCCGCTTTTTTCCCGTGTGTCTGAGCCACCGGGCCGCTTTTGGGGGGGCCGCCTTTTTCCAGGCCGACTGGGCCGCCGGGCTCTTCACCTGGCCCGCGGCGCGCTGGCCCAGGTTCTCGATGCCCGCGGAGGGCTGGGGCGCCACAGTGCCGCCCATCCACTGCAGCGCCCGCGCCTCCGCGAAAACGACGACGGCGGAGTCCGGGCGGAGGAGTCCGGGCAGAGGCGGAAGGCCGGAAAGCCGGCGAAAAGCGTGGCGATAGGTGTCCTTTTGGGGCAAATGGCCCAAATTTTACCAGTGGTTTACCAGGAATCGCCATCTATTTTCGACCAAAACCACCAAAAAGGACACCTATGGTTGCGAGGGGCATAAGTGGGGGACAGCGATTTCTTGGAATCGCCGGAGAAATCCAGATTCAAATTGAGGAAAATATGCTCGGATGCCGGAGGGAAGTTTTTGGTTCCCAATACATTTGTCAATAACAGCCGATGGGCTTAAGGGGGAGCGGCGGGGTCGGTGTCTCTTTTTCAAATTTGGCCAAGCCTGACCTGCTTTCGGCATCGAACACAATAGCGGTTTGTTGATACCTTGCGTCAGCTCGCTGGACCGTTCAAGACCCCCTTGCGTGTCGTGCATCTGCCCTTCTGGAGACGCCGCTCAGCAAACTCAGAGAGACCACGACCAAACACTCTACAACCAATCTACGCACCAAAAACAGTGCTGTGATTGTCAGGTTTCAAGGAGTGAACATCCAGCTAGTGGGTGTTTCGAGTGCAAACGGAGAAAGGCTCGCATGACAGCTTTGTTTGAACCCTTGGGACAGGTCGGCGACAACATAGTTGCCTGGAGCCAATGATTGCCCCGTTGCTTCTCTGCCATCGAATCGAAAAAAAAAAAGAGAAGGGTACACAGACTAAAGAGGGAAACAAGGAGCCAAGTGGGACAACAAAGCGAACATTAGGAATCCAAACAAATCAATCTTGTGGCCAACTATCCAAGAACAATGCACACATCCACCGGATGAAATCCGCATGTGAGAACTTGAAGCAAATTCGGGAAAAAAAAGTCAGCTCAGTCTAGCTTCGAGTTACCAGGCATCCGCAAATCAGGTGGCGCCTGTGGCCGGCCATCCGCGGCAGAAGTGAGCTCGTAGGTGAAGCTGTGGCCATTGATGTTAGCCTCGCCTGCGCACTTGGTCAAACTGAAACGCAGGTTCCAATCTAGAAAATGGTTGTGTGCTAGTCATTCTTGTAGGAATTCATGGGGGGTATCCCATCAAAACGCTAGTCATTCCTACTTGGCAGTTTGATTTGTATCTTTGCTGGACGTTCATTCTCGAAAGGCGGATGCAAACTGCACTGGGGCCGAGGTTGGCACACGCATTCTGCGATCTTGCCGAACAGAGCCGACCTGCTTTTCGATCCCATTGAATCAAAAGAAACACATTGTGATTTCTCCAAATTGAGGCTTCCTAAAGAGAGATCTGGCTGTCCCGCGATGTCCAAAACATACCCCAAAGGATGCCCTCGAACACAATGACACTCACATTCAACATGCCGCTGATGTGGGACCCCAGCTGACCAGCATGCAACAACTGTTGGGGTTGCTTGAACCATCATAGCCATCGTGCATCTATGCTTGGCCATGTTGGACCTAGCGCACCACTGGGGCTTCAAGGAAAATGTTCCGCCACATCCGCGACATGTCAAGGGCTTCATCTTGGGTTCCCTTTGGTGTTCAAGCCGCCGAGCCTCAACACGCCAAGGCCCAAAACCACCTGGTCGCCCGGCCCGGCCCATCCCCCACCCCCCACCCCCCCACCCCCCCACCCCCGAAGAGCACACCAAGTGCCCAGCTTTGAAACTCCACCGGCAGCTCGCGGCGGGGGAAGAACACGTCCTTGCGTTGCAAGCTTGGCGATGGCAAGACACGGGCGCGGGGATGTGAGCCAGAACTACGATCGGTTCATCGAACAGCCTCTCTGCACACCACCTGTTGATCTCGCCAGTTGACTAGTGGCCATGGATGACACAAACTGTGTTGCCTTAAAAGAATCCCTCCACAGAAACTCCACACAAAAACAACTTATAATCAGAATAATTAGAAAAAACAGTTTGCCAATTGTTGTCCAAATACTACCTTCGTTCATAGTTCCAAGGATTGCCATAACAGATTCCTGAAAAACAAAAAAACAGCTGTCCAAACGAAGCACATTTTGCTACTACAGTTTGCTCTTAAAACATAAAGGTGTCACAAGCTCACAAAGCGCACTTTCTGGCAAAGCCAGTCCCCCTAATAACATAAACCCCTCATGATGAATTATGGCCATCTCCAGCACTCAAACAATTCAACTGTTCTTTTACTTTCCTACTTCAGTACTATTAGCCAAGACGGAGAGAGGATCGGAAACAACCAAAGAGGACCGGGAAATTGGGTGCAGGGGGACCCTCCAAGAAGTGTTTTCTGGACCTTGACAACCTTGGGGGTGGGGAGGGCACTCATCGGCAATCATTACGGCAGGCAAACAAACCAGGTTCACCCTCTGCATATTGAGAGCCTTGAGAAGACAGGGCTTGCTAGTTTGCCCTTGGCAGACGGGTGCGGTGATCCTCAAGTCCGGACACTGGGTGTCCCTTCCCTCACCTGAGAGAACCGTCAAACGCAGGGCTTACCCGTCCAAAATCAAGGAACCAGGCGCTCGGAAAATAGGTGTCACTCGCGCCGTCGACTTGAAGGGAGGCTGTACAATTGCCGGTTGAAATTCAAGTTCCAATGGTTTGCTCGCTGGATGCTTCCTCAAACCATCCATTCGCAGGTCCCGGATGTCTGCGGTGTTCAATTGCCAGAACAGGGCTCTTTGGTTCTATGGGTGGCCCTGCAAACTGGGACAAATTGGTGAATCAAAAAAAAGGGACGTCTCGAAGTTGCCGCTGAAACCAACGATGCTGGAGGTCTACAACAAACCATCGCATGATTGCAGCCAAACCCCTCGCAGCTTTTGTGACTCTTGGAAAGTAGCTAACTCCCCTGGACAACATAAAGCAGACTTCCAGTAGTGATAGATTCTCTTTAAAACCAACCGGGGACAATAAACAAAAATATTATCAAACACAAGTTGGTGTTGCAAAACTTGCGCAGATCAACCTTTGGTGAAGATCCTGCAGTTTATCGGTCCTTTTCCATGCCCTCGGAGCGGAGGAACCCGAAGCCTCTCTCGCTGTTCCAGTTTTTCACCATGCCCACGTGCTTCTCGCTCCCGGCGGTCGCCACGCCTGAGCTGTACGTTGCGTCTAGCGTGTCTAAAGCTTCAAGCAGAATCTCTGGCTGGAAATGTTTTGACATACTTTACATGGCGGATCATGGGCCATTAAGACAGGCGAATAGGCGGAAGAACTGAACGGCACTAATCTGTGCAGCAATGATGGTTCCAATTTGCAAGCTCAAATGCGAAGCAGCAAACAGAACCATTCGTCTCGTGCTCAGTCAGACTACTTCGGCATGTGTATGTGAGAGCGCTCGAAAAGTTTCGGGCGCAGCTATACCCTGTCCAAGCCCTTGAGGCAAACCTGAAGTCGTCTGTGCAATCCGCAGCTTCTGCCCCTGCACTTCTGAAGATGGAGGCTTAGACACGCAAAGTCCCAAACCAGGTTGATGAGGAAGAAGCGGGTGCTTTCACAGTGCCACGCGTAGTTCATGGCGAGTCATGACGAATCCCACCCGGATTGAGTGGGCAAACAGCTGTGAGATGAGGCTCTCATGCTGTGAGCACGGTGCGCGATTCACCGGACATACGCGGCAGGGTCGGCAGCCAGTCGTCTCAGGGCCTTGCATCGGAGTGCGGAGCCACACCACGACATAGCAGGCCACACGCTCGATTTGTTCCCATAGACGGTCCTGCACTAGCGCGGCGTGGCGCAGGCGTCCCATGAGGCGCTGGTTGCTCAGGTTCGGCTCCTCCGCGTTGACTTCAAGGGTGGTCAGATTCAGCCGGGCGGTCTGGCCCACGTTCGTCTGGCAGCCAACTTCCACCACAGCGCACGCCGCTGGCTTGCGCGGCGCAGTTCGATGGATGAGCTCCGAGGCGCAGTACGTAGAGCACATTGGCTGAGGCACCGCCGCCTGAAGCTGTCATGGGACCCAAGCTTCACCGCCGCCAAGAAGGAACCAAAACAGCGACAAAAGTTGCAAACAGCACCCTCCCTGACGGACCGTTGAGACCTCTTCGAGCTGATGCTCATGGCCTTCCTCATGTTGTTGGGACGGCTCATCTTCATGACCACGACCGTGGCCAAGCTCATGCCAAGTTCCATCAGCTCCAGGCTTTGCAGGCCGTCGGTAGTTGCTCCGCCCACTTGCTGCGCTGGTAGCTGTCGTCAGTGTTGGCTTGGTGCTGGACTCGACGGCAAGTCCTGCAGCTTCAGGTGCGGGTTCAAGATGACCACCGTGAGAGGGTAATGCGGGGATCTCCAGTCCACTCGAACACTGCTCGTGGGGCGAGGTTCCTGCCGTTGCGCGTGCGCGCGAAGGAGCATCGGTCAAGGTGACCAGCCGCAAGTCGTCCAACTTGCCAACGGCGACAAAGTTCTCCTTGGCAAGCAAAACTTCAGGGCTGAACTGTTTGAGGCAGCAACCTAGCTTGATCTGGCCAGTGGGGTATAGCGCAGGCTGTAGAAGCCAGCCAGGAAGGCAGAGAATACTTCGTCGCACTGTGTTTCACATATTCCTCAGCGCCCTCGCCGTAGTAGGCCTTGACGTTGCTTCTTGTCAGTCATCCTCGCGCTGGCAGTGCTCGGAGTCGTACTCCAGGCGCTCATCAGTGGCACACAGTAGCCATGATGCCGCCCTTGTCGCACGCGATGGCCCTGCTTGTGGTCCTGACTCAGGATGCAACACAAGGCCTCGACCACCAGGTCGCCTTTGATTTTTTCGTGCAGCTTGATGTCATGGGCTTCCACCCGACGTAGAGCTTCATCGTGGTCGGTGATGAAGTTCAGAAAGGACTGACCGTGTTTCCGCTGGAGTATTGAAAGCTCTTGTCCAGCAACTTCAGGATGGAACGCTGTCGTGCCCTCGATGGTGTCGTCGTCGAGGCGCTCGACAATTTTCCATGCGGATCCAGTGAGGCAACCGAGGAGGTTTCCTTCTCGCACTTCAGGAGCACCATCTTCTTGTTGTACAAATTAATACGCTTCCTCCACTCCCGGTAATCGCCAGGCCGACCGGAGAAGGCAGGGATGAAGTTGTCCCGGGTTGTGTTGTAGTCCGCCGAAGCTGAGGAGGCTGAGCCTTTGCCCTCCATACCAAGGAAGTTGCCGAGGTGCTCGAGGCGGAGGTTGCCGTAGGCGAGCGAAAGGAGGTCGTAGAGCTCCGCTACCAACCTGAAGATGGAGGTTTAGGCCCACAAAGTCCCAAACCAGGTTGATGAGGAAGAAGGGCCCAGCACACACCAATGCAGATGCTTTTTCAGTGCCACGCGTAGTTCATGGCGAGTCATGACGAATCCCATCCTCCTTGAGTGGGTACACAGCGGTGAGATGAGGCTCTCATGTCGTGAGCGCGGCGCGCGATTCATAGTACCTTTTTGCATTGGCCTTTTAGTAAGGAACCATTAAGTGAGAACCGGGAAAATCTGGGTACCACTGCACTGGCATTCAACCAAGGCACCAGGCACACATGCGCTCCCACAGCTGCAGCCGCCGCAACCTGCGAAACCGGCGCAAGCACAGCCTGGGGCAGCAAAGCCAAGGCTGTAGTCACAGCCTCCGCCGCAACCGCAGGCCGGGGGCTGAAACCCTTGGCAGCCTCCGCAGGCTTGGCAGCAACCGCAGCCATCGCAACCGCAGCCAGAGGAAGGGCAGCCACCGTCGCAGCCAAAGCCTTGGCATCCACAAGCGCCTGTGCAGCCAGGACAGCAGGCGCCAGGACAACCACAGGCGCCACAGCCACAGGCGCCACAGCCACAGGCGCCAGGACAGCCACAGCCACAGCAGGCGCCAGGGCAGCCACAGCCGCCACAGCCACAGCCACAGCCACCTGCCACGCCACAGGCACCAGGGCAGCCACAGGCACCAGGGCAGCCACAGGCCCCAGGGCAGCCACAAGCTCCAGGATAGCCACAGGCGCCTGCACAGCCACAGGCACCTGGACAGCCAAGACCTTGACCACCATAGCACCCGGCCATGCCACAACCGCCGTTGCACCCGCAGCCGCCGATACCACCGCAATCACCACAGCCACCGCAGCCAAAGCCGCCATTGCCGTACTCTGCGGGTGCTAGTCCACCATTGCCCGCTTCCTGACTCTCCGCAGGGTCCGTGATAAAGCCACCTGGCGGAAATCAAGTTTGCGGTGAACATGATCCCCGAAGGATTTCTGGCAGAGGTGCCGAACTTGTACTGGTCATGGGAATGGCAAATGAACTGGCACAAATTGCGCGAATAGTTGTACGGGGGAATATGGGACATAATAGTAATTAAGCAGACTGTCAGGCCAAAGGCAAGTGAATTGCTCTTCAAGGTAGTGGATTTACTCTTCAAGGTTTGAAATCGTCGTATGCCAGAAGATAGCCGTCTGTCGCAGAGTCAATGGCCCATTCTGCGATGTAGCTGTTTCGTGACATGCTGAAGCTAGAAGCACAACTGTGATGGAGTTGACCTACCGTCAAACAAAACACCTCGATGCGATGCTTGAGTAGGCCGCTCACAAGATAATCACAGGAATGCAGAGGCATCACCATCGAGATGATGCTCACCTTGCTCATGGCATGGCAGACGCCGGCATTGCCGACCTCATGTATGACATGCCAAGGGGATTTAGCAGACCCCTCCACTCAGGCCAATGGGAACGGTACAAGCACCTGTTGAACTAGCTCCCAATAGCATGCATCGGCTCCGGCACTCCACAAGGACCCGCCCGCCTTGCATGGTGGCCTGGCCATGCGAGATCTGCAACCCTTTCCAAAGACAATGAAGGGAAGACCCGGACCTGTTTTTGCTCAGGGTGCGCTAATCAGCAATTAGCAACAAAGGGGTCGCTCAGTTTCCCAAATCACAAGTCATATCAACCAAGCAGATTCATTGCAACTGACTATGATTTGATGTTTCATGCCTTTTGTTGTTTGAGGAAAGCACAACTCATGGGACACATCTGCGTAAGGGTAAGCTTTGTTTGCTAGACTGTTATCACGGTGGCCGTGAACAACACGCAACAGTAGAGGAGTTGAAGACAACTGCGGAAGAAACGACCACCTAAAGCCGATACATTGTTGGGCCAGCTGACAACCTGTAAAGCATGCCAACAAACTGATGCCAGGAAAGGTCTTGTTTGCCGATTCACGGATATACCTTGTTCCATTGTAATAGGAACGCACCCATCGCGTCAGTCATTCAGCAGCCGCTGAGCCAACAGCCTTTGCACCTTTGCATGCCAGCAAAATGGATACGCCCACACAAGACTCAGGCAGCTCAACTTAGGCTGACAAGCACACACGTTTCTTATGCAGGTCGAATGCACACATGAACTAGCAACGTCACAGAATTTTCTCCCTCTCTTGTGCTAGTCCTAAACTGAAGAACCCTTCAACCACTGCTTTTGGTTTCCGTCAAGCACCAATCCAAAGAGGACTCCAGCTTGAACATGCTATTCACACCTGGCAGGTGAAGCCCATTCACGAGCATCGGTTTCTGTGAAGTTCGTTCATGTGCATTTGCTTATTTGGCGGCAGTTCCCGTTCTTGTTTCTCTGAAACACAAAACAACAACACTGAGTTTGCGTACTGCTTCTTCCTGTGGGGTATCTCTTGCCAGGCTCCCTGTTGTGTGCCACACACACATACCACACACACACACCACACACACACACACACCACAAAGAGAGATATATATATATATATATATATGGCTCATCCCGAACTCAGCGTCGCCAGACCGGGAAAACCAAAAGGTGAATTGGATCCGGTCAATCGCCCTAAGCCATGACCCGCATTTCCCGCCTGAGGCTTGTAGGTCAACGAGCAGGCGGTGTGTACGTGAGTGCTGGAGAAAACGAGTTAGAATGAGCTTCGCATAACTTGGCTGTGAACCCTTTGGAAGAGACATGCAAACCATTCACAGTTCCTTACCTCGACAGTCATGACAAATGGCAAGTTGTTGTGAGCCTATTGGCAGTTGCACCGCGCGGAAGCAAAGCAATGGCTTGAAGCTGAAGGGTCAAGTAAATCACGTCCCCGTTGCTCCAGGAGTTCACTCCCGGAAACCCTAAGTTGCATGGCATAGCTCCTGAAACTCTGAAACACCAAAGATATATTGTTCTCTATGCAGAGGGAGAGGAAATTGAAATGGCACATCTCATCTCATCACATTTCCTTCGTGGGTCCGCATTTCTGCCTTAGTCCAAGGCAACCCTTGGTGCGCGTGCACGCCAGCCCCTGCCACCTTTGAGCCGACTGCAAGGCTGCCCCAAGAAGCATGCACTCCGCGGCTTGCAAGCTGCCCGATTCTCCGTTCACCCACTTGTACATCACATTGAGCTCTTGTTTCCGGACCGGATTTGGAGAGTCAGCGGCATGCGACCAACATGCGGCAAAGGTGTGTGCAAATGTACACTTGAGTGATCAATGCAAACAACAATAGCAGCAATACCCGAGCGACAACAAAACAAATAAACAAGAGGAGACGCTGCAGTGCCAAAGTCAGATTCACGACCCTCACTTTGCAGGAGTCAATCAAACAAACGGCCAAAACTAAGGGTAATCAGTGCTCTAGATTAGACGCTAGCCTAAGAAGACAGTCGCACGCAACGAGCAATTCAATCCCGATGCCGTTTGCGTTGATGAAACACGCAACAAAGCAGACTCTTGAGCATGGTCATTTAATTGCCTCACTCTTCAGCACATTCCCTTCAGTGTCGCTGAGAAACTCGTCCCACTTTCTGGGCAGGCAAAGTTATAGAAGTGAATGTGCCAAGCTTTCAAACCCACACCCAGGCGGGGTTTGTAACAAATATAGCAATTGGAATTCACCCGCAAAAGCCGCACAACTTCCGCAGATTCTTGAAAAAAAAACTGAAAAAAACTGCCGCCACGCCAAAGGATAACCTCTTGGCACAGGCCCAGAGATTGGCGCACCGCTTGAGGACACCGGCAGCATCTAGAGCCTCGCATTGAGCAAAAACGGAGCCTCGCACAAGATCTCAAAATTATAGTCTCACTCAGCTCAAGGCCCAGTTTGCATTTGTCTTCCGTGTTCATGGATTAAAATGCGGGAAATCCCAAAGATGGTGCTGGTGACATATGTCAAACAAGGCAATCCATGGTTTGGGACTTGAAACAAGTTGTCCAAAGAGTTGCATTTGCAGGGGGCATGCAATCGATTGCAGCACGGACCATAGGTTGCACGACAACTCTTTGAAACTTAGGGCTGGCAC